AAATATTTAGTTAATCCATTAACTAATTCATCAAATCTATCACATTCATTTCCTATTTTTGTTGTTTCTATTATTCCATATAAATTATTTATTAATTTAGTCATTTCTCTATCACTTTCAAGTGTTTCAAAATATATTGAAAATAATTCTTTTGCTGTTTTTTCTTTTAATATATTAAAATAAAGTGAATATTTATAAACATCTCTTTCAAGCCAATTATACCAATTAATATATTGAATCATATATTCTGTAAATTCTTTAATTATTCTAAATCTTTCCATAAACATTTCTTTAATTTTAATATCACCTTTTGTTCTAACTAATTTATTTGATACCATTTTTAATAATACTAATGAACTTTTTCTTTCATTTGTTCTTGTTTCTTCTTCATTTATTAATTCTTTTGTTTTAGTTTTATTTATTGGTTGTATTGTAATACCTTTTGTTATATTTCTTGAAAGTGTTTTTGTTCCATGTCTTGAAATATTATTTTTTTGTTGTTTTATTAATCGTTCTATTGCAATTTGATCACATTGTCTTATACAACTTCCACCAATTGAACTAGAATTTAAATAATTACTTATATGACGACTAGGAATTGGTGTATTATCTTCTTTTAATTCTTCAGTATCATGTCTTGATATCATTTCTTGTTGTGGAATATCATATGATTCAAGAACAAATGACTTTGTTGGAATAATTAATTTTGTCATTTGTTCTTTTATTGCAAGAGTACTTGGTGTTTGAGTAAGTGGATTTTTAATTTTATATTTTTCTTTCATTTCTTTTAACTTTTCTTCTACTTCTTCAGGTGATAAATTATTCTTTTCATTATTTATTTCTTCAATATAACTTTCTTTATGTTCAATTTTTGATCGTTCATTAATAGCTGTTTTAAGTACATTTTGTATTTCTTGGGACTTAGAAATAATGTCAGAACTTACATTAATTAATGATGATGAATCTTCAACAAGTTTATTTATTCTTTCTTTTTCTTCTTTATAATCAATTGCTAATGTTTGTTGTTCTAATATTTGTGTATTAATTACATCTAATCTTTTTAATGCTTCAACTAATGCTTTTTCTTGTTTTGTTTGATTTTGTATTGTTTGTGAAATTAACTCATTATATTTCTTAAACATTTCTTCTAATTCATTTAAACTTTTTCCATTAGTTCCTGTAAATTCATCTAATTGATTTCTTCCTTTTAAAACTGATGGATGTTTTTCAAGTACTTCACTTCTTCCTGCTATCGTCCTCTTCATCTCTTTTTTGGTTTTTTTTATTTCTTAGTTTTTTTATAATTCTTTAAAATCTATTTAATTTACTATTAGATTATTTCCTTATTTTTTGTAATTTCTTTTTTAGTTTATTTCCTAAAATTCTTTTCTTTCTAAATTTGTTTTCTCTCTTTGTAAGACTCTTTTTGTTTTTAATTTATTAACTTCTTTTCTTATTCTAATAGTAGCTATTCATTATCTACTATCTTTTTTAATTGATTATTTTATAATAAACTGGTATTTCGATAACTAATTTGAATATTATTATATCAAAATTTTGAATTTATATTAAATGAAATTAATAATTTATGATATTTACTTTAGATAAATTCCAAAGATAGAGATTATAATAATGGTTAATATTAACTTAAATATATTTGGTTTTGAAAATACTTATAACTTTGATAAATACTATATTGTCATAAGAAGAATTATTAAAAGTAACAATTATACGAACTTTGAATAGAAGGAATGAAATAATTTATTTATGAAATAAAAAAATGAGTTGATATTATTAATTTAAACAAATATTTGATTCAATAAATGTATATCTATAAAAATATGATTGAGGAAAATGACTGTAAACAACTAATAAAATATATTAAAAAGTGTTAACATTGAGTTATAAGAAGTTATTCTTTAAAGCAATCACATATTAAATTGAAATTGATTCAATAATATAAATAAAGATGATAATTTGGTAACTCATTGAGAAAGAAATCAACTGGATGAAGAATTGATACAAAATAAAACAATACAATTTAAGAAATGAATTCTCTTAATGAATTAAATATATTATTTCAAATAAATATATAATTGAAGCAGGACAGAGACAATTAAAATATTTATTAAAAACATGAAAATAACAGTGAAGAATATTGATTAATTCTTTAAGAATACAAAGACAAATACAAATACAAAATAAATTTATCAATTTAATTTTTAATTTTATTATTAATATTTATTTATTATAATTGTTAGTATCATTTGATTATGATTATCTTAATATCATATAATCATGTAAAATGTAAAATTATGATAAATTGATAATACATTATATTTAATAATATATAAAGAGATTCTTTTAAAGTAAATTTGATTAATTTATGTAACTCTATAACAATATCAAAATTATTTCATTTTAAAATATATATATCAAGATATATTGAATACTACATTATGACTCATTTAAAAATAAAGGAACAGTTTTAGATGATTCTTTTTTACAAATGAACATTACTCTTTCATAAATAGTTATATCATTCTTTCATTATGTTTTCATTCTTTTTGTATAAAATTATTAAAAACATTTTGATAATATTAAAGTTATTGATTATTTGAATAATATTAAATAATAAAGAATAAAATATTGTTACCATAAAAGCATTTAGAAATAATAATGTATATTCTTTAATAAATATTCTAATCCAAATTTACATACTTATTAAAATTGAATTTATACAATTTCATAATAATTCATACATTCACAAAATATAATTTACTTCAAATATTTAATCAAACAATGATTTAATGAGTATTATAATTTGTTTTAATTATATACTGATTGTTATAAATATAATCCAAATGAATTGTTTTTGAAATTATGAATTTGAATGAATTAAATAATTTGAAGATAATTTTAAATTTCACATCATTAATGTTATATATTCCACTTTTCTGAATTAAGAAATACAAAACTAAGTTATCAACTAGTGATAACCCTATGTCTATTACACCTAAACTACCTAGACCAACTCAAAGTGATGTAGAAATGCAAGTCCATAAGAAATACCCCAAAAGTGTTCATAACTTAACTACAACGAAAACAGATCAGATTAATACAAGTAACAAACCAACCACAATTTCTAATATCCCTATTCACTCTATTCCCTCTAAAGCAGAACGTACATTATCAAAACAGTTCAGTCCAAAACCAACAATAGAGTCAAGAAATTATAGTGAAAAACAAAAACCAAAACATCAAATCCTTCAACTTCTTTCAATGGAACAAAAGAAATCAAAACAAAAACAAAGACCAATTGAATTTAAACAAGAAATTGTAAAATTCCCTCCTTTAAACCCAACCAAAAAAGTAGAAAAATCGGATTATTCAAAAACAGCAGCATTTGTTAATGACATAATGAAATTTAAAGGACTTATTAGTGATCTTTCTGATGATCAAAAAGAAGTAATAGAATTAGCTGAAAATGAAATTTCATTCTTCTTTTCAGGTGCAGCAGGTACAGGCAAATCATACGTAATGAAAAAATTAATTACAATATTGAAAGAACTTCATCCAGAACAAGGATCAGTTGCTATCACTGCATCTACTGGTATTGCAGCTTGTAATATTGGAGGAACAACATTACATAGTTTTGCTGGAATTGGATTAGGTGATCAAAGTGTTGATATATTATATACAAAAGTAATTAAAAACAGAACTGCTTTTGAAAAATGGCGTAACGTAGAAGTACTTTTAATTGATGAAATATCAATGATTTCAGGTGATTTATTAGATAAATTAAATGTTATTGCACAAAAAATAAAAAGAAACAATTTACCATTTGGTGGAATTCAAGTCATATTTTCAGGTGATTTTTTCCAATTACCTCCAGTGTCAAAAGGAAAAGAAGTAAAGTTTGTATTTGAATCAAAATGTTGGAAAGAAGTTATTAAAAAATGTGTTATTCTTCATACACAACATCGTCAAAGTGATTTAACATTTATAGAAATGTTAAATAACATAAGATATGGATTTGTAACAAAGAAAACATATGAACTTCTTCAAGAATGTCAAAAACGTGATCTTGGAGATAAAAAGAAAACATGTCTTTTTTCTCATCGACTTGATGCTGAAAATTATAATAAAAGAGAATTATTAAAACTAACTAGTCAACAATATATTTATAATTCATGTGATGTTGGGTTAGAACGTAATAGAGGTCCATTAAAAGAATGTCCAGCACCAGAACAATTACCATTAAAACTTGGAGCATTAGTAATGTTATTAAAAAATACACAACCAGAAATTGGATTAGTTAATGGAGCTGTTGGAAAAATTTTAAGATTTGAAGAAGTTAAAGTAAAACATAAAGAAAATAGAGAACAAAAAGATTCGTATGCAGCAGAATGTAATATAAAAAAAGGAGAAAATGATTTTTATGCAAATAATAAATTTTTTCCTGTTGTTGACTTTGGAAAAGGAGTTATTGTAACAATTACACCTGATATTTGGGAAATTGAATCATCAGGACTTATAGTTTCAGCTAGAATTCAATTACCATTAACACATGCATGGGGTTTAAGTATTCATAAGTCTCAAGGATTAACACTTCCTGCAGCAGAATTGAATTTAGAAAAAGTTTTTGAAGCTGGACAAGCATATGTTGCATTAAGTAGACTACAATCACTAGAAGGACTTAAAATAGTTGGTAAAATACCAGGAGCAGCAGCATGGAAAGTTAATAAGAAAGTTCTTGAATTTTATAAAGAGATAGATAATCAATTCCAAGAAATAGAACCGTCTGAATTATATTTTAATCAAAACAATAAAGAAAAACCAGAACCAACAACGTCATCAACATCTATGATAACTAATGGAGGTGTAACAGTAATTAAAATAAACCCAACACTATTAAAAAAATATTCAAAGTAATTAAAATTTATGTTTTAAACTTTATTAATGTTTATAAATTAATAAAAAAGAAGAAATAAACAACACTAACTAAGATTCATTGATGTAAATACAGAAATTAACCAACAAATTGATAAAAATAATTCTAAAAGTACATTAAATATAAATGAAGAACGACTAAAATGAAAGAGTTCTTGAACTATTGAAGTTGGATAATGAATTAAATCTATAAGTGTATATGTTGAAAATAAGAATAAAAGAAGTGAAGTTGTAAATATAATAATTCTTCTAAGTACTCTTGTGAAGTGATAAAAAGGATCAAGAAGATTATGAAAGAATGGAATAACTAATAAAACTATATGTATCATTAAGTCATTTATTTTCCACCCACATTGTGATAAATGTCTTGGATAATATCCTTTGGATTTTACTACTAATTTTATTGGTCTAATATCATCACAATTAATTAAATTTACAGTCATTGCAGTATCAGGAAATTGAAGAAATAAATTTATCACAACTAAAACTGTTCCAATTATTATTAACTTCGTCAAATTTCTCATTCTCTTATTTTTTTGTTTTTTCTTTCTTTCTTTTTGTTTTTTCTTTTTTTCTTTTTTCTTTTTAAGTTCCTCTTCTTTTTAAACTAAAATTTGTCTATTTTTATTTTTTTAAAGAAAAGATTGGAACAGTAGATATTACTATTTTAAATAATTAATAAACTATTAAAATAATTATGAAATTAATTACAAAAAGAGGATTATTTTCCTTGAGAATTCCACTGAAAGAGAAGAAAAAAAATAAAGAAATGAAAAAAGAGAGACGAAGATTGAGAACTGAAAACTGAATAATACAATAGAAAGGAACGATGTCTAAGAAAAAGATTCTTTTAAAAGTAATTATTCTTGGTGATTCAGGTGTTGGAAAAACTTCTTTAATGAACCAATTTGTTAATCATAAATATAGTTCTGTCTATAAAGCAACTATTGGTGCTGACTTCTTAACAAAAGATCTTGTTGTTGATAATCATGAAGTAACAATGCAAATTTGGGATACTGCTGGAAATGAACGATTCCAATCCCTTGGAGTTGCTTTCTACAGAGGTGCAGATTGTTGTGCTCTTTGTTATGATGTCAATGACCCAAAAACATTTGAGTCTTTAAACAATTGGAGAGAAGAATTCCTTGTTCAAGCTTCACCAAAGAACCAAGACCAATTCCCATTTGTTGTTTTAGGAAATAAAGTTGATACTTATGAAGGAAGTCCTGATGCTATTAAGAAGAAGGCTGAACAATGGTGTTCAGAACATTTCAATATTCCTTTCTTCGAAACTTCTGCTAAAAATGCTACCAATGTAGATGCTGCTTTCCAATCAATTGCCCAAGCTGCTATTGCTCAAAAGGGAACTGATACTGATATTTATGTCATGAACCAAGTTAACATTGATCAGCCTGCTCCTCAAGCTCAAAAGTCTGATTGCCCTTGTTGATCTATTTGAATTTTGGGTGAAGTTTCATTTGTATATGTTTTTCTTTTTTTCTTTAAAATTTTTTAAGGTATTTCATTATAAGAACGATATCAAACAGTATGTTGTTCATAAGCTAAGTCGTAAAAAGGATTATGAAAAGTATTAAACTATGAAATTAAGTTATGTCAACCAATAAACAATCTATATAACCTTTACAATTAAGTCTCAATTTCATTAAGATTGTGTAAACAATAACTAATTAAAAATTATAAAGTATTTTATCTATTATTTTCATTAAAACAGTTACTTACTCATTTGAGTGTATTGAAAAAAAAGAAATATGACAGAAGTATGTTATTACTCAATTCACTGAACCAACAAGCTTTGTCATATTGATACAACTATTTTTAAACCGTTAATAACAGATATTTTTTTTATTTCATTTTCAATTAATCAAGATTAATCACTTCATTTCAATTACTATGATTCGTTTCGGTGTGAAACTATATTTTCCCCAAAGTGCATTTTCAATTCCTTCATTGTGGATGTTGTTTTCCACAAAGTGCATTTGATGTGGATTTGTTTTCCACGAAGTGTATTTGATATTCCTTCATATTCAAACTCATGTTGTTTACAATATGATTTTGTTTTATTAATTTCTTTATAAACAAAAATATTCCATCCATTTCCAAATTTAAACATCCAAGTACTTGATTTATTATATACTTTAAATGCATATTGTTGTTCTTGAATATTAAATTTCATCATTCCTTCCATTTGACTCTAATGAAAATACAAATGATTGTGAATCATTTATCCGTTTATCAACTTTATCAATTTTTTCATTAACATATCCTCCAAATTTATTTCCTCTTTATCTTCAATAACAATTATTATATGCTCTTTTATCAATACTCTTTCTTCAAATATTGACGTATCAATACTACAATTATTATATGTTCTTTATTTATTATTCTGGCAAACACTGATGTATTAACTTTCCAATCAATAAATACTGATGTATCTTCTTTCCAATCATCAATATCTGAATCAAATAAAATATTCTTGTTTTGTTTTAATAAAAAAAATGTTTTGTATGGTGATGATAGTATTTTATTTACGTTACTAATTAATATTTTAAGTTATAAAAAGAATAATGTTGCTTTTAAGAGATTTTGCTTTAAGAAAAAATGAAAAAAAAATATATTAAGAGAGTGAGTTTAAAATTAAAATGAATTTTTATTTATTTTTAAGAGTCATATTTTCACTTAATACTACTTTTCAATATCTTTTTATTCATTATTTTTATAAAATTTATTTATATGTAGACTATGTTCTGGATAATCATATTATTAATGCATCTTTATCAATCAATTTGTAATGATTAATATTTTAAACAAGTATAAATTTATTATTATTATTATTCACTAGTACTATTATTGAAATATTTTCAAACAAATCTTTGTCACAAACACAATTCTATTAATATTTAACGAAATTATTTTTGAATGATTTGTATAAATATTTAAAGAGTAAAAAATGATTTTTCATTTAAATACATTGAATAAATCTTTAATAAGGAACATTTATCTAAATTAGCATTTCAATATATTTTTTTCTAAAATAGTTGTGATGAAATAACCTTTTTTTAATAATACAAAATACATTTTATTCATAAGAAATATGTCTATTACAATAAAGTTCAAAACAAGAAAACAATATTAATTACAAATCAATAGTACTCTTGAAATTATAAAAAACTAAAGTCTTATCAAACTAATAGTCAATTGATTAGAACAATATATTAATATCTAGTTAAAATATTCATGAATTTATTCGTTGTATTTTATCAATTATTAAGAAAACTAAAGATATTGCCAAAAGAACAAACAAAATTATTTAAAATGAAAAATGATGAAAACAAAAACAAAACGATTAAAATGAACAAATACTAATTAGCCATTCAATTTATTCAGAGGCTTTAAGAATATCAGAATCTCCTCCATCAATAATAGATAAAACAGAGACAGCGAAATATCTACCACAAGCTGTTCCAAGATCAACATTAGATCCAGAATAATGGACAACTTGAACTTTACCAAGAACAGCATAATATTCAATTTTAGCTCTTTCTAATGGTGGGCAGTTAGAAGAAATAATAACAAGTTTACTCTTTCCATCACGGATGGTCTTAAGAGTAGCTTTGGTTCCAAGGACATATTTACCACTCTTAGTGACAAGGGCAAGTTTTGAATTAACTCCTTCTTGGGTTTTCTTGGCTTGTTTTGTACTTGACATCCTTTGGCACTGACAAATTTAATAAGTTCATTAAGGTCATTAAATGGAGATAGGGTTAAAAGTCGATATATCTCATGTTTCTCCTTTTTACTATTATTTAATAGTAATTAAACTATTAATTATAGTTATGTATGTTTCATATTAATTTCAATTTATTACTTTATTTTTCAGTTCTATGTTTTTAATTTTTTTATTTTTGAAGAATGAAAAGAAATAACGAAGATCGAAGAATGTCAATAGAATGGAAAATAACAAACGACACTGTGAAGTATGTGGAAAAGAGTCCAAGTATCAGTGTCCTAAATGTAATATTTTATATTGTAGTATAGAATGTTATAAAGCACATAAAATGAATTGCAAAAAAAAAGAATCACCTTTTATACCACTACAACAAATGAATGACAATACAATTGGAGAAGACCTAATGTTGTTGAGTAAAACACAGTCATTTGTTCATGCACTTGAATCAAAACGGAAGTACAATACATTTCTAGTGAAAAAGTCAAAAAGAAATAGAAAAAGAAATGAAAATAAACCAAAGAAAAATAACCAATATTCGGAAAAGCATCAACAACAAATTCCCCAATCTGAGAAAATGAAAACCCAAAACGAAAATGATACTATAACGAAAAAGGAATCTATAAATTCAAAAGAAACAAATGAGAAAAAAGAATAAAAAAAAACAGAAGAAAGAAATGGATAAAAAAGCCCAGTTTAGTTTAATAATTTAACAAGTAAATTTGTACTTTTACTTTTGTTGATTTTCTGAGTCTTTTTGGGTTATTGTTTCGGTATCTTTTTTAATTGACTTGTCTTCATTTTTAATTGATTTATTCTCCCTTTTGCTTGAGTCACGTTTTGGAGAAGGTGAACTTCTAGAAAAAGAAGAACTAGAATCTGAACGATGGCGATGTCTAGAATATCTTTGGGAATGTCTTGAATAAGGAGAGCGAGAACGTGACCTTGAGTCTGAACGAGATGATGAATGTCTATGACGTCTACTTGATGACCTTGAATGTCTTCTTGAATAAGGAGATCGAGAACGTGATCTAGAACGTGAACTATACCTTCTACTATAACGTCTTCTTCGAGAAGAAGATCTATTTCTTCTTCTATATCGTTTTTCCTTACAATCACGTGCCCAATGTCCAGTTTTACCACAAAGATAGCAAACATCATTTTCACGTGATCTATCTCCTCGAGCCTGTTCAACAGAAACGTGTCTTCCTTTTATTGTAATATCAATTTTATCATCAATTATTTTTTTACCATCTTCAGCATTTGTGAATGTCTAGACATGTCAGTACGAAAAATGTTTTTTATGATTAAAGTTGATTATATAATCATTAATAATAATCACAAATTTCTTTTTACCATTTGACATATTTATTTTATGTTCTTCAATAGAAGAACTTATTTATAATGTAAATGAAAATTTAAGAAACGTTTACTAATTCAAAAATGAACAAACAACAAAACCAAAGTGTGACTTTATATCAATTGTTTCAATTGATCCATATTTTGAAAATGCATCTTTCATTTCTGCTTGAGTAACACCATCAGGTAAATGACCGACATATAACTTAATAGAACTCATTAGAATGATTATAATTACTAGATAACCCTTTTTTATTTTTAATTTAAGAAAAGCAAAAACAGAAAAAAAAGAAGAAGAAAAAAGGAAATAAGTAATAAAAATAGTAAAAATTATATTATTGCTTTTTTCATAATAAAAAAAAATAAAATGAAAAAATTAAAAAAAAATTAAAATGAAAAAATTTTATTTTTATTCTTCTTATTAATGCAAACACCAAGTCCTCTTGTTTCAACGATGAAAGCATTTAATCAACATGAAATTGAAAAAGGAGAAATAGTTGGTAGAGAAAAAGAATATGAAGAGTTAAAGACATGTATTCGACAATATGAATTATTTCCACATTTTGGATTAATATTAATTCATGGTGGTTCTGGAGTTGGTAAAACAACAGTTGTTAAAGAAGTATTAAAAGACAATGAATTTTTAAATGAATTAAGAGTAAAAAGAAGAACAGTATTTATAAATGTATTATTATGTACAAATAAAAAATGTTTTATTAGATCATTATCAGAACAATTGTTTGGTGAAGAAAAAACATTTAAAGAAATTGCATCAGAATTAAATAATGAAACAATTCCATCTATTCTTGTATTTGATGAAATTGATAATTTAAAAAATAAATGTAATGATATGTATCAATGGTTATTACAAGCATTATTTGGAATTAAAATTGCATATAGATGTGTGGTTATTGGTTTAGCAAATGAAACACAAGACTATTATTCAATGGCAAATGACTTTGCACGTTCACCTTATACGGCTCAATTGTTATATACAACAAATAGTCTTGAACAAATTTGTGAAATTATTAGAACTAAAACAAATAATACTTTTGATTCAAAAGCTGTTGAATATATCGCAAAAGAAGTTTATAGAAAAGAAGGTGATCTTAGAAAAGTATATTCTGCATGTACATTAGCTATTCATTTAGCTATTCAAGATAATTCACCTGTTGTAAAAATGATTCATGCTATTAAAGCAAATGGAATGAATAATGGTGATACTTCAACAAAAGATTTTCTTTCAAGAATGGGAAAATATCAAAAATGTTTATGTGCATCATTATTCTTTTGTCAAAATAGAAATGGAGTAATTGGAATAGGTGAATGGTATGAAAAATTTAAACAATTGATTGATTCTATTAAAATTAATCAAAAACATTTTACTATTAAAGAATTTAGAAATGAAGTATCAATTCTTGCATCTCAAGGTGTTGTACGTAAAGTTTGTAATTCATCATTAACAAATATTGCGTATGATCATATTAGTCAAGTGACACCAACTTATGATAAATTAATGATGATAGCTATTTTATCAAAAGAACCTGTATTAAAACCAATTATTGAACAATTAAAACAAATGTCATTAAATTCAAATTAAGTAATGTTAATTGTATTAATTTTATTTCAATAAGATAACAGTCATTATAATATAACAAAAAATATTATTCTTCTTTTTTATAAACAAAACCTTTTTTCTTTTTGTATTAATAACATATTAATTTAAATATCCTAATTTCTTACAACATAAAAATTGTGTTGGAACTTCATTCATTGCTGCTGTAGCAAATGCAATTTCAGGATTTTCTACATGAGGACCATCTACTACTTTCTGGAAATTTACAAAATTAAAATTATCAAACTTTGATTGTCCTAATTCATCATCAAAATTTTCCATTTTATCAAATGGTCCATCTCCAACTCCAATTGTTACAATAGATAATGGATAATTTGATGCATTCTCAATTGCTGCTTTAGTTGCTCGTTCTGCATCAACTTGTCCATCAGCAATAATTAAAAGAATATGATATTGTCTTGTACGTTGAACAATTTGTACTGCTTTATTAATTAAAGGAGCAAAATTAGTTGGTCCAGAAAGACGTACACTTGGTGTAATTTCATTATATCGTTTTAATACTTCTTGGAATCCATTACATGGTGTATCATTTGGCATAAAAGAAAAAACTGATTTATCAGTTGTTGTTACATCACCAAACCCATAAACAGGAATAAGATTATCATCATCAAATGGTTCTAATGTTCTTCCAATAATATCAATAACTCGTTGATATGGATTCATTACATTTTCAAACAACCCATGAAGACTATATCCGTTAAAACTTTTTGCTCCAGTCCATGTATTTGACTTAGTATAATCAATTCCAATAATTAAATTAGAACTTTCTAATCCTGCTTGACGTAATCCATCTTGTAATTCATCCATTGATTGATAATTACCTTTTAAATTAGCTTTTCTAATATCAGGATTAGATGAAAATCGTTGTTTATTTGATTGTGCAGAACTTAAAGAAAGACCCATTAAATATTGATTTATTAGATAAAAACTTTTTAAGATATGATGTTTTTCAATTCTTCATTCCTTTTTTTTTCCTGACTTTTTCATTTAATAAAATATTTTTATAAAATTTAA